GGCTTTTAACTCCGGAGGTCTGGTGAGATTTCAGTAAAACTGTAAGCTTGACCATATATATCCATAATGTTACCCTCAGTACCTCATACTGTGCCTGGCACATAGTGGGTTTCAATGCACATTTCCAGAATCAATTACAATTTTGCCCACCTGAAATATTGTTCTGTGGTTTTATTTAAACTAGTTGTCAGCATGGAATGACTTCTGCATTCTCTCCTGGAAGTGGGTGAATTTCCATGGTGAGCAATTCCTCTATATACAGTTTGCAAATCATTTTGGGAACCTTCCAAATGAAAGGCACTGTATAAATATACCCTCCCACCAGCAGCCAGCCGGCTTTCCACCGGGATGTATTTGCATCGCTTATGTACATAGTGTTTCATTTGGGGCATTGCTTTTATTTTTATGGCCATAAAAGAAATATTCACAGTATGAACAATAATGTAAACTGCATTCAAGAAGATATATATTTGTATATTTCTATGATTCAAAACTTAGAAATCTGAAAGAAAAGCAGGCCTGGCATTTTTCTTTTCTATTGCTGTTTGCTTTTTTCATAACATTCTTTATTATTTCTGAACTTTATGTGGTGGAATTCTGCTGAAATGCTCAAGTCTTTGTCTGTACATCATTTGAGAATATGTGGTGGTAGGTTCAGATGACTGTTGCTGGTAAAAGGCCTGAAAATGAAGGACGCTTGATTTTGCATTTATTCATGTCTATAATAATAGTTTGCTTTAGCGGTGTCTTTTTGTGGATGGAGTAATCTTTAAGGACAGAAAGAGAAAAGTAAGCAACCTTAGGTATAAAATACTTTCTAAGTAACTTAGCATGATAATGGGGACTTTCACAGATGGAAGAGACTTTGAAGAGACATATTTTAACCTTTTCAACAAAAGGGGGACTGATTTCATAGAACAATACTGGGGAGCTAGACTTTGAATTTATATCATACAAATAATGTTTAATGAACTTAGAAATAAATTGCCAACAGAGCTAACTCAAAACCTCTGTAAATTATGTATTTACCTACACAGAATCTTCTGCATACAGAAGATGACTTGAATTGTAACTCCTTAATTTATGTTTCTATATTAATTAAATTTAAATGGAATGAAATATCCCAATCCAGACATATTTTCTAGATACTCTAGCCTTAAGGATTTTATTAAAAAGAGAAACTACTCTGAATATTCAGAGTATTTTTGTATACAAAAACATTAAAAAAGGTAGATGAAATAAAACTCTAGCTCACTTCATTGAGGAATGATGTGCAGTGTGAGAAATTAAATGTAGGCGAACAGTAGTTAAAGGTGGATGCAAAAAGAATTTGAATTTTCTGTGTCCACGTTGTGCTTTAAGAAATGCAAAAACAATAAGTGATTTTGGAAATCTTAGCCATTGGATAGGAACATTAGGAACTAACTTACTCAGGTTATTATTGGGGACTTATGAAGTAGGTGTTACTGTATTCTCCATCTCCTCGGTTAGAATATTATTGGAGTTAAACTCTAATTTCATACTTCCAGTAATACCAACTTTGTTTCATTAAAATGAATTTCTTATTTAAAATATATTGATAGTCTTCTTTTTTTTATTATTAGAAAATAAAACAGCAGTTCCTTCACCTGAGAAAAGCTATAAGCATGGAATGGATCTGCAGCCCATTTTTACTACAAACCCCATAATGCTTTGGATTATAGCCTACAATTCCCATACTGCAGCACCACTCTTTACTGTTAACCATCCTGTTACTGGGGGGAGAAAAGAACAGAACATTTGAGAACTGTGTAACATGTAAGGATTCAGCTAGAATAGTAAATTATTGAGTTTTGTGTATTCTGAGATTTATTTGCCTTTTACTTTAGTAAAGAAAAAAAAAACAGGTGTATATATGGATATGTACACTATTTTTTCATCCTGAATGTAATATCACTTTAATCACAAACAATGTGCCAAGGTATATACTTCCTATGTCAAAGTCTTTTTTTTTTTTTAATAACCATCCTTGAGTTGTGCAGTTTTTTTTTTTTTAACACCCTCCCCTTTGGAGGTAGGTCAGCTTTACTCAGATTTTAAAATAAAATCACAATACATTGTTTAATGTTCTAAACATCTGCAAATGAGAATTCAGTGAAGTAATTAAAATTCTTAATTAGATGCACCTTGCAGCTGCTGTTAGTCTTAAACGGCAATAATGCAGCTACATTGTGTTCTGACACTTATCTTCAGAAGAGTTAGAAAGAGAACTGAAGGGAGACAAGAGGAAAATGTTCCCACACAGTTCAAGACAGTTCGCACAAAGAGGATCCCATGGCAACAAACAGGGAGGCCCACAGTTGGCTCTGTAAGATCCAGGAATAGACAATGCCTCACCTCAGATTCAAACAAACACTTTCCTTCCCGGATCTGAAGAGAAAGCTCTCAAATTATCTCTTGCAAGAGGATGGAAATAGTCAACTGTTCGTTCGCACCTTTAATACACTTTTCAAAGCTTCTGGATGTTCTCTTCAGCCCATGTCAAGGTACTAATTCGAACTCTTGCTCTGTGTAGAGTAACAAACTGACTAACAAAAGTCTCACAAATAGAGGACTTGATTTTGGTACCACGTGGAGCTGAAGTAGACCCTGGCAACCGGTTCATTTCAACCTATCATTTTACAGACAAGGAAACCGAGGCCAAGAGAAATTAGAGTGATTCCCTCCGATAATTAGAGCTGCTTTGGAGTAGAAATTGGGCTTCCCTGGTGGCGCAGACGGTAAGGAATCGGCCTGCAATGTGGGAGAGCTGGTTTGGATCCCTGGGTGGGGAAGATCCCCTAGAGGAGGGCATGGCGACCCACTCCGGTATTCTCGTCTGGAGCATCCCATGGACAGAGGAACTTGGCGGGCTACAGTCCACGAGGTCGAAGAGTCGGACACGACTGAGCGGCTAAGTACAGCACAGGAATAGAAATTAGACTCAGATCTAGGATTTGAGTCTACAGCCCAGGACTTAGCCTTCTCAACTTTGCTTGAAGCAATTAAATTGTTAATTGTGGCCCCTCGCAATCCATTTGAAATCTCTTAAATGGGTCAGCTCAAGGACCACGAGAGACGGGGCTGAGAATGTGGGTCTCGTGCTAAGAGAGGCAGGCGTGCGTGCGTGACTGTTTAGTCACGTTTGCACACTGCGACGCCGTGAACCGGAGCCCGCCAGGCTCCTCTGTCCGTGGCATTCTCCAGGCAAGAATATTGGAGTTGTCATGCCCTCCTCCATGGGATCTTCCTGACCCAGGGATGCAACCATCACCTTTACCGCTGAGCCACCGGGGAAGCCTTCTGTGAGAGGAGGAGAATATACATCCCGTCCACCCCTGATTTTCAGTATATTTTGTATGCGAGCTTGTGTGGAAGAGCAGGGAAAAGTGAGCGGCTGGCACGGATGTCGTTAAGCTGAGTGAGTTAACCTCCTGGAAAACCACAGAACACTTGCCTACACACTTTAACCAGATCTTCCCTCAGCTCGAATTGGAAAGTTCATTATACTGCTCCTTCTTTTTAAAAAAACCACAGGTTGACCTCCCTATCTAGCCGCCCAGCCCTCTTTCCATCTCGCCTGTGCCCTGACTGAGTGTATCTTGCATTCGTTTAGTTCGCATTTGACCTAATATTTGCAAAGTTTCCCTTGATCTTCCCTTGGGATTTACTCCCCACATTAAGTGAAGACACAGTTCTTTAGGGTCAAGAATGCTTTGCCTGTTTAGTGTTCTATTTGGGGGTTTAGCCTGTTAAATCTTACATTACAAAAGCTTGTGAAATACCTTGTAGAGAACGGGTTAAGGTTTTCTGGAACCGGGGCTACAAGTGGCGTGTGGGAAAAGTTGAAGGGTGGCTAGGGGGAGGGGTTGTGACTGGAAGTGTTTCTTAGCCTTTAGCTCCCTGTCAGAACCTGACTCCGTGGTTGCAGTGTCAGACACATCCCTAGAGTCTTGCTACTCCAAGTGTGGTCCATAGACCAGCAGCATCATTATGGTCCATGGACCAGCTTATTATAAATGCAGACTGTCAGGCCTCACCCCAGACTTACTGAATCCAAATCTGCATTTTAACAAGCCACCCAGGTGATCAGGCCTCCGTTCTAGCTTGAGAAGTACAGAACTATATGTAATTATTCAATCCCAAGGTAATATAAAGGGCACAGATCTTCACCTGAGCAAATATCCTAATTTATTTGACCACTGCCTACTTTGTCCCTCTTCCCCATCACGTCTCGGTCTCCTAATCCGCAGCGAACTCTGTGACACCGCGGAGGGGAGGAGCGTCCTCTTCCATCGCCTCCTCTTCGCCCCGCCCCTCACCTCCTCCCGGAGATCCTGCTCCTCCCCAAACTGGAAAAGCAGAGAGGTGGAGAGTTTCTGCCTGACGGACTCACAATTTACATCCCAATGCGGGCAGAAGCACTTTGCAAACTGCCCTTTAGAAACAATTATCACCTTGCCGCCAGAGGTTCGGAGCCACCGCCTCGCACCCCGCTTCCGTTTAAAATCTGGCTTAAAGTGATTTAGACAATGGTTCTCTCTCTCTCTCTCTCTCTCTCTCTCTCTCTCTCTCTCTCTGTGTTTGAGAGAGCGAGAGATCGCTCGCAGTAACAAAATCACGTCTAAAGAGAAGTGATGGAAAGGAGGTTATTGTGACCGTGTCAGTTTAGGCTTCGATCTGTGTACCTTTCTGCTTCCTAGAGAAATGGAACCCTAATTCTAAGGTGGCTCATGCAAAACTGGGTGAGCGTCCGCAGTGGCCGGTCCGCTTTTGCCTGGAAGCACACCTTCTCGTTATTCGAGGCCTCTCAGGGTCCCTTCCTAAAGATTCCCAAGCTACGCTCCTTCTTCCTCAGTCTTCGGAAAACTAAAACTCTCAAAGCGGTGGCGTTCTGTGGATTGGCTAGTACTAAAATATCCATTGGGTGGCAGTAACACTATCCTCTTTATGACTTGCAGCAAACCAGAGAATGCATTCAATCAAATGAACCGATCTTGTAGAAACACTGGAATCATTTATGCATTGCAGTTTCTCTTTCTTGTTTTCGCTCCTTCTTCTCTGGGATATTTTGAGTGGATTGTGGCTATTAATCAAGATCTCGTGCTAGTCGTGGTTTCCTTGTCGTTTTCGCTCAGGATTAGCATCATTCAAGGCAAACGCAAAGCTGCTTCACGCCCCCCCACCACTCTTTTTTGAAAAATCATTTTTGGGGGCTGCTGAAGAGAGCTAGGACCCAGGAGACACCTTCCCAAACAGCAGGGGTTGTGTGCTTTCACATAGCAGTACTGTACAAGGAAAACCCCGTCGGATCGGTTATTGCGGGATACTTGTGAAATATACATAGGATTCTTTCATATGGCTGCATCCCGGATCTGGAAATTTTACTTGGGGACCAAGAGGATTTGAAAGGCTACGTGTATACAGAAGATTTGCAAGCAAGACTCCGGTTCTTGTCGTAGAGCTCACAGACTTCCTTACTTACCGGCCTTTTTCCTTCCTTCTTTTAAAAATTTTCTTCCCTCTTTTTCTGCCCTCTCCCCTCTCAGTCTCTCCTTTTCTATCTGCCTCTTCTTTTTTTCTCCTAGTTTTCTTTTTTCCCCTGCTCTGCACCTGGATTGTATCTTCACCAAACAATCGGGCACTTTGAGAACTAACTGGAGGCAGCCTTGTAGGGAAGAGCTGTATGGAATTATCTGCTTTTATGGTGAACTTGGCATTTGTGAATGGGTATCTTGTTCACGATATTAATTGCTAGCAAAAACAAGAAAAAGAGCACAGGAGTAAAACGTGGATTTTTCTGAATTCGCATTGTGATGACCAGCAATTACATTACCGACTGATATCCAGAGGAGAATAATTTGGAAGACTCTTGTGGGTAAGGTCATTTTATATATGCAAACCCATTCGTGGCGTGAGCAAACTTGGGCGTTTGTAATGGGAATGGGTGACTTGGATGATTGCTGCATCGCATAGATGGCTCTGATGTGGCCGTTATTGGCACTGAATGGAATAACTGCAGTTGGGTGTGTTGGTGTGTGTGCGTGTGTGTGTGTGTATGTGGGTCTGTATTCTGAGTGTAATTGAAAATAAATCAAAACATGACTCCCCCCCTCCAATTATTTTGATATGGAAGAGTGTCTTGAATTAATTCTGGGTAGACACTCTTTGTTTGGATACAATATTTGTGGCTCCTATATTCTGGAAGGGGTAGCAACCGTGAAAGGAACACTTACTAAAGAGCCCTATTTAAAAGGAAACGAGCTACTCTTTATTCATTAAAAGAAATATGTTTTCAACTCAGTGCAGCATTCTGCTGCATTTCACAGCCGCAATGGGACCAGGGACATCCCACTTGTCAAGTTCTTAAACTTTAAGGTGATAATCATTGTTAATTGTTCTCTAGGTAGTGATTATTGGAGATTATTAAGTACCCTGGGCTACTTTTTTATCTACGAGATCATCATTTGGAATTTAAAAAGAAAAGAAAAGGGAAAGCTGAAAATGATGACTAAAATAGAGAAGAATAGTGCAATGTTATTTTCAGTATCACCATAATGCTTTCTTTCTTAAGTTCAATTTGTCCAATAATATAATTATTTACCCAATACCCTGTATAGCTGAAGCTGCGACCCACGTGCAGGGGAGTCGAAGGTCTGGAAGCAGAGACCATCCTTTTATTGCAATGCAGCCAGCTTTGGAAATGCAGGCAATTACACACTTCCCTTAACCTTAAGTTGAGGATGTGTTCTATCTGCTACATCTATTTTACCCTTTCGGTAAAAAGTTAGAGACTAGAGCATGAAGGATGCTTAAGCATATTCTGCCTGGGAAATGGGATAAAAAAAATCAATATTGATGACGTGGTTCAGTGCACTGTACTGCAATGCTAAAGTCCCATATTCAGTACCTATGATGAGAGAATGGAGCATTTACATGTGTTATAAATCTCACCTGGTAGACTGATCTGAAGGGGAGGGGAGAAGATATGTGGATATGAAGGAAGATGGATGGAAGTCATGCATAATCGGTGATTATGTAACTTCATTACATCAGCGAGCTTCAGTCAACGATAGTGAGATGAAATGATTGTATAGAGAGAGGCTTCATCACTCTGTTAACTTTTGAAGGCTTGTAACAGCTTAACGGAGGAGGAGGAGGGCAGACAGAGATTAGCTCCAAGGGTCCCTCATCTCTGTGGCGAATTTAACATGAGTTTCCTCATAGTGAGTTTCTGAGGGACAGCAGATCATGTAAGCTTTAGAGCCGGACAGGAGCAATTTTAACCACACCCGTGGAGAGTCAAAATGAGTCCGCAATGTTTCACAAGTGCCCCATTGAGTAATTGGAGCTGATGATCCTAGCCAAGGTCATAGTTCTATACCCTGAGATTGGAATACATGACCCCAATTGAGTAGAAAGTTAAATCCATTGACATGAAGACTGTGAATGGAATGACTACTTGAGATCCTCTCTTTCATTTTTCCTGGTAGAGCTTGATGCAGATTTTGGTCTGGTGGTTCCCTCAATAAAAATGATTGCTTCCACAGTGTGTCAGAAATGAGTGTTTGGTACCTTTATCTCTGCCTTGACAGCCTGTTTCTGGGCCATTTTAACCCTCTGGGAAAAGAGAAGTAAAAACCTTCAGTGGTAATGATATCTTGTTAAATTAAAGAATAAATGGCAACGAATTCATTATTAATACAAATCCCAGAAAAAAGAGCAATCCATTTTCAAGTTTTACTTACTGAATGGCTTGAAGGACATGTTGCAGCCGCCTGTGAGTTTTACCATGAGACAAGAGAAATGTGCTCTGCTCATGGTACAGAGGAGGGAACCCTGCAGGATAAAATGTCATTTTCCCTGATGTTTTATTTGGAGCCGTGATTTTCTTTAAGAGAAGAGACACGTCAGCTCCTTTCGGCCTTCTGCTATTTCAGGATCTGCTCTTTCCTCAATAGATTATAGATTCCCTCAAAATGAAACTCTGCTGAAATCCTAACCCTATTGAATTAAATCATCTTATCATCTAGTTGTGCGGTTTCCTATTTCCCTTTACATTTATTTTACCAAAAAAAAAGAAGGCTAAATGACTTTTCTATCCTAGAGATGAGATGATTCTTTCTGTTTTTCCTCTGGAGTCAGGTGCAAGATGCACTAAGTAACTTTGAAAAGATCTGCTTACCCCAAATCAGAATGGTGGATTGGTGGGATGAAATTTGAGCTCTGAGATTTGAGATGACTTTCTTATTTCTGCAGGACATACCCAAATATTGATAAATTGTGCCAGTGGATTTGGAGGTTTGGGGTTTATATTGTGTAGGAAATTGGATATGAAGTTAACTCCTGATTTCTTCCTTCAGGGGTCAGGGTAACTCTACGGCTGCCTCCAGGCTGCTCATCTCCAACTATGTGCAGAAATATAGTCTGCCTTGAGTTTTCCTGCACTTTATTTTAATATTTTATAAATGACTTCCTTAGCTGTTTTCTGACATAAACCACACGTATGTTACCAAAGAGGGCATATTCTAGAGGTCTTAGAAGCTCAGTAATGGATGGAAATAATGCTAGAAAGGAAAAAAAAACTCTTAAAAAAAAGACACTGGCTGTGAAACATACATATGCATGGAATTGCTCTCCTTTTACTTGAAGACTGCATATATTCACATTAGGAAAGATAGTTTCAATCATTTTGATGGTACTTTATAACCTGTTACTTTCTTTTGGATGAGGATTATGTAACTGAGGCAGGTTATGTCATTTTTCCTAAGTAACTCACAAATCAATAATAAAGAGCCTTGCTTAATAGGAAAGCATTTAAACATGAAGGCAGTGAATAGTTTAAAATATAATATTTATGTGTTTTATTGCCATTTTGTCAGCTCAAAGTGAGTAGTTAGATTAAATACATTCAAAAATAGGAGAAATATCATTTGCAAATATTAAAAGCACTAATTTTGTTTTCTGACCAGTTGCTTTAGCAAAGTCAGGAGATTTAGCTGGTAAGTGATCAGCTCAATTTAAAGAACAAAGTTAAAATGAATTTGCTTTACATTTGCAATGTGTGTGAACAAATCCTGTTATTGTTAAAAGGACAGACAAAACATTTTTCAGAACAACTGAACTTGGAGGATTAATTTAGGATTTCTATTTCAGAATCTTTTAGTATGCTTAATATAAACACTGAAGGTCTGGTGTGTACTTTGTCTTAAAACAGATATGATCTTTGGTGTTTGGCAAATCTCATGTTTTGATAAAGCAGGCTACTCTATAATTTGGGGCACCCAAAGCACCCAAACAAGTGTTGATTAATAAGATTTAAAAGTAGCCAGTGTTCTGGTAATGCTCGATTTATAAAGCATAATTATAATGGCACCATTTGGGCAGCTATGGTTAAGGCCATGTCAGCATTTTTATTATTAAATTCCAATCCTTTTTCCATTAGTTGTCTCAGGAATCTCAAAGAGGAAGGAGCTCAGCTCTCTGAAACATCCAGGTATTAGAGGATTCGGGGCTGAGTCAGAGGCCCTGAGTTGCTCTTGTCTTTTACTAGCCTTGTGACTTCTGATCCCGCATTTTCCCTCATTCAATCACTTAAAAACAATTGTTACATATTGCACTGAAGAAAGGAAATGTGCGTCTAAGTGCTTACCATCATGCTGTGCCTTAGAGATAGGTATAATCATTATTATTAGGGGTTCCCCAAAGTTGTATGAATTTAACAGTGTATTTTTTTCTCATGCCCTTATTGTGAATCTTTATAGATACTTTCTAGTCTCAGTTACAGTTATCTGGTAGGCAATAGCGTTCAGTAAGGAACACAGGCAAATTCAAAGCTTTCGTCGGTAAGTTTCACTCAGTATTCATTTTTTTCCACAGTACTCATATGGGAATATAGTTTTCCTAAGGAACTAAAAATAAAAGTTGCTTTTAAGTGTCTTTCAAAGAATGGTAACACAGGGTTTTGTGTGAGAGTGTTTTAAGCTGATGGCTTCTGTCGTCGTTCACGCTCTTGAGTACTCAGGTCTTTTTGTTTTGCGTACCAGGAATGTAAAACCAAGGTTCACCAACAAACTTGATGCTCCCACTTAAGTTGGGTCAACTGAGCAAAAAGCTACTCTCATGTATCACTTTATTAACAAAAGCATAATGCATATGAATACTAAGCACAATAGAGAACACAAGAATTAAAAGATAATAGTTCTGTTCTGGAATTTGCTAGTTGCAATAATTACTAATGTTCTTTAGGGGGAGGCAATCCCCCATGTGTCACTGTTAACACTGCATTTCTTCAGTGTTCGGATAGCTTAATAGAAATATATTTACATATATGAAAATAGGGCATAGTTAGTGATATGACCTTCCATATGTGTTGTTAAGTGGTGATAATCAGGTTAAAGAGTAAGTTTTTATGTTTTTGTTTCAGGTAGAATTGGAAAGTGCAAAATTAACCCTGTAAATAAAAGTAAATCTACATGCACTTAAAGAACTTCCTGCTAGAGAGCAACCTCCTTTTCCTAACGTCCCAGTGTCTTGCTTGCGTTTTATGTTAAGGATTCCCAATATTTCTTTCAGATGAACTTGATTATGCCTGTTTCTCTGACTTCATTGATGCCTATAAATAGTAAGCCTTTTCTTGGTTTCCTATATTTTAAAAATGCATATTCCTGACCTCTTCCAGAAACACCAGATTTGCTCTAGCAGATTAACAAAGGAATGGTATAAGATTGTAGACAGGCTTGTTTATTTGACAGATTCTGCTAATCACCTTTCTAATACCCTTTTAATTTTCACCCAGAGAATGCTACCTGGGAGTATATTTCAGTGCAGAGAGCATTCCATTACAGGCCAACCACATGACTCAAAGGAAGGATCTAC